AATATAGCTTTAATTTTTTAAACGCACCATATTACTACGAAAAACGAACATTGGAATTCATGTAACTTCAACTCAAATTTAAGCTGTAAATTGTTTCACTGCCTGAAGAGCATTAATGAGGAGAAAGCAAATATTGTGCATAACGCATAGAAGTATATGGAATCCATATAAGTATATTGGTTCTTCAAAGCATAAATGAAGTCTTACAAACTATCCCGCAAAAATATAGCTTTAATTTTTTAAACGCACCCTATTACTACGAAAAACGAACATTGGAATTCATGTAACTTCAACTCAAACTTAAGCTTTAAAAGTGTTTCACTGCCTGAAGAGCATTAATGAGGAGAAAGCAAATATTGTGCATAACGCATATAAGTATATGGAATCCATATAAGTATATTGGTTCCTCAAAGCATAAATGAAGTCTTACAAACTATCCCGCAAAAATATAGCTTAATTTTTTAAACGCACCATATTACTACGAAAAACGAACATTCGAATTCATGTAACTTCAACTCAAATTTAAGCTGTAAAAGTGTTTCACTGCTTGAAGAGCATTAGTGAGGAGAAAACAAATATTGTGCTGAATGATATAATTTTCATTCAAAGAGGGAATTAGTTTCCTAAAATTTTGTACGTTCCGTAAACTTCCTTTAATTTTTTAGACGCACGATGCGATAAAGAATATTTATGTTCATGTAATTTAAACTCGAAAGTGTTTCACTGTCAAAAGTTTTAAAAAAGATATACTTTTTTTTATTTTTAGATATGTGATCATCATTATTATTTAAAAAATAATAATATATAATGATCTTTTAAATTTTTGCATATTTTTCTATATATCTGAAACATTTTAGAATATTAAAAATAGTGTTAATATAAAATTATAAAGATCATTTATAGAAGGATAATTCCATAAGTTTTTTTTTAAAAAAATTAATAACTCTCTTTTATTTTTTTTTCTTACTTAGTATAATTAAAATAGAAAAAAATTGGAATTGTAAAGAATACAAATTTCACATTATTCTAAACTGTGTTACCTTCCAAATTTATATCGAAATTGGTCTATTATTCTAAATCGCCAATACTCAAAAATGTCGTATTTCTTCAAATTTTTAAACATTCATTATATAAATACCATTAAAGAAATTATTACTGTGGATGAACACTAACACTGGAAAACACCTTTTTTTTATGGTTAATAAATCATTCCAATTTTTGATGAAACACTTACACCCTCGAATAGTAATTCAATATCACAGCACACGTGCACATGCGAATAATATTCACTTGAGATCGCAGACTGAACTTTTATCAACCCTCAATGAGACCGACCGCCAGCATGACACCGGCTGTAAATCCGCAGAAGGCTTTCCATGACTCTTGATTCGGACAGGGTGGGTGAAACTGAACAACAAAATCCAATCTCCAGCGGTAATTCCCATAGCAGCAACGGTAGAGGCAACTTCTGGACCCATGACAGAGAAAGTCCCAAGAATCTCTTCTTTTAATTTCTTTTAGCATCAGATTCTTTTAGTCAGGATTAAAAAGAATAATATCTGTTTCACGAGCAATGTCAGTTCAACATTCAGACATCAATGTCAATTCAGCATCAATTTCATCATTCAGTCAATTGTATTTTTATTTTAATTTTTGAATTATATTTAGAAGAAGCATTTTAGCATTTATTATTATCCTGCGTCCGTTTCATCAGTTCTAAACATCCTGCTCGGCTTGTAAAATGATGCAGTCAGACCGAGCAGAAAAACAGACCCAGGATTTTAATGAAAGGAATAGAATTGTATTACGTCATTCTTTGTTGAGTGGCGAGGGAAAAGTGCAGTGTATTTCATGAGCAATCAGTCTTCCTGGTAGGGAAAATCTTGCAAAAAATTTAAAAATGTTTCTATTTAGGGAAAAGAGGGAAATCTTAGAAATTACTATTGATTTATGAACTAAGTCGAGTGATTCTCACGGAGATTAAAGGGAAAAATGTCTTTATTTAAATTTATGCATACTTGGGCCAAAAATAGATTTAAGAACAAGATGTGGCTTTTAAAAGTGTGAGAAAGCATTTCGATTTGAATAATAAATTAGGAGTTGTTTTATAGCGAAGAAACTAACATAAAAAGATTAATAGAAGCTTTTTATGTTTGCTGCATGCTACACATACATACACACACACACACACAGATATATATACATATAGAGAGAGAGAGCATAATAAAGGCAAACACGATAAAAAGTAAAGGGCACAATGGGCTATTGCTGACTGTTTGGGAAACATCCCTCAGGATGATCCGAAGACATGCCATCACAATTTTAATCCTCTGCGGAGNATTTATTTAATTCTCGGATATATATATATATATATTTAGGGCCTGCGCTAAGGATTTCAAATTACTTGCCAGTAAATTAGCCAAATATCAAAAGTATTCGCCAATTTTCGAATGTCATTGCCAAATGCTAATCTTAATAATTTTTTATAATGAAATTTTTTTTCCATAGAAAGCTATTTTACGGTAGTTTGGTTCAGGCTTATATTATTTGAACCCAATTCTAATTGGTTATACGGTGCATCTACCGAACATTACAGAATACGAATAAAAAATACTGATTTGTTTAGAGAAATTTATTTTGACTTAATTTTGAGGATTGGGTAAAATATATATTTTTCTTTCCAGTGGAAAAATAATTCTCCAATACTTTTACCAAAACATAATTTTATGAGCAAAATTTACGATTTTATCGCATTTAGCGAGGTGGCGAATGCTTTACTTGGGCCCTGGAGAGAGAGCAAAGAATTGAATATTAAATCTAATCCATAAATCGAGATTATATCCAACTCGCCTTTACCACATAGTGTAATATTATTGATTTAATTATCTTAGAATTTGTGATAATGTGTTATGAGATCCTTAGTGTCATGGGAAATTGATCAGTCCAACGTTACTAAGATCTATTAATATTTAAAATGTTAAGATTTGAAAGCACAAAGATTGTAGTTTTATAGTATTGCCTTTGATTGCAGAAAATAGATACAAGAACATGAATATTAAAATAGGATTTTATTTAGGTAAGGGCCTAAGAATTAGAGCTTACATTCTGTCTGCTAGATTGAGACAGAAAGGGTTTGACCTAGGAGAGTGTTTATATCTTTCTAGACAATATATGTAAATATCATTATACATATATAAATCGTAGTAACGTGGAACTGATCAATTTCCAATGACACTTAAGATCACATCATTCCATTTTCCAATATATATATATATTTGTGTATGAATAGTTTGATACATACATTAAATTTTTTTTTACCTCAAGAAAATAATCTTCTAAAATTTTCACTTTAATTCAATGAAGTGTGTCTTAATTATTTATATTTAATCCAATAACAATATAAATATCGATTTTTTCTTTAGTGTTGCGCTGATGCAGAAAATGAATCTTACTCTGTAAGAAGAAAAGCTTCTAAGAAAGGGGATCTTAATATTTCTTTGACAATGTTCACAATTCATGTGAGTTTTTGAATTATTCATAGATATTTAATGTATCCAATAATGTATGGTTAAAAAACATATGTATACACAACTGGTCGGCTTACACGAGAAATGTAAATCAAAAAGGAAATTCATAAAAAGAGCCTCTACAATATTTCTTTGACTAATGTTTGCAGTTCATGTGAGCTTTTAACTTGTACATTCAATTCCGTCTAGCCAATCCAAATATGATTTTTAAAAAAATATCATCGATATGCTATTAGAAGAAACAGATCTTTTAATACAATAAAAGAAATACTTCAAGGGAAAGGTACCGTAATATTTCGTTAAATATTGTCTTCAGTTAATGGCAATTTTTAAATTGCATATTTTTAACTATTATGCAGATTATTATTTTTTTTCCTTTGCATCATTTTAGCATTATTATGAAAAAAAGCATGCTATCTTAATTAAAATCTCTATTCTCATAAACAATAGACAATTTTGAACTGTAAATACCAAGCAAGTCAGAAGCAACGCAGGACAAGAATAATGTAAAGGGTAAATTAATTTTTGAAAATATCAAATTTTTAAACTTTGGTTGACATAAGATAATTTTCCTCTCATTGGTTTCATTCAAATTTTTATTCTGATAGAGCAAAAAGAAAGACGTTATTTTTGGACTTTTTTCCTTGAAAAGATAAAAGCTTACTTGCTTCCCTTTTTTATTTCCTTAAGAGAAGAAAAAAAAGTGTGAGAAATAAAATTCGATTAAATTGGGGGAGCTATTTTATAAGGTTTCTATTTATACAATAGAGAAAAATTTAGACAGAGTAAAGACAGTTATAAGCAACCGGCATCGCAAAGAGCAATTTGAGGGAGGGAGGGATGATCCCACTGCAAAACTCCCTGATCCATCGTATCAACGATAAATATTGCATTTTTTAATAGCAATTATTACTCATTAAAACACATTAATCATCATTGTTAATTGTTTCTCAAAATTTTTTTTAAAAATTTAAAAATACGATAAATGATAGAATTAAACAACGAGGATCTCCTTATAAAAAGGTTTTCTAGAAAAATAATACAATGTTTCCAATGAAATGCCATATATAAAATGAAATATTTTTTTTTTAATTTTAAAAATTAGAAAATGTGATTTGAAAAACACAAAATGAGCGATGCCAGAAATTGAATGTAGAATATTGGATACACGGGAGAAATTCTAAAAAAATAGAAACATATTTAAGTGATTGTTTTTTCAAGAATGATACGCCCACAATCTAACGAGAAATATGTTTAAAAAGTATTTGAAATGCACCTTAAATAAGGGAATCAATAAATGCATTATTAAAGAGATTTTTGTATTTGAGTGAGTTATTTGTTTAAAAAGAATGTATTAAATGTAAGCTGGACGCGAGATTACATTTCGATTTTCCGTAGAGGTCGATGGGCTACCTAGACCCATTTTAGGGATCTTCCGACTTGCATCCGGTGAGGAGGGGTGTTGGAAAGGTATTTTCGTGGCGCAGTGGCGTCGATCGGCGAAACCATTAACCGTGGGTTAGAAAGTAGCAACATGAGTAGTTACGCGCCAAACAAATATATAGCTTTTTATAAAGTGCATTTACTACTATATTATCTTTACATTATCTCTCTAGTTTTAAGGATTGTATGCATAAATTATTATATGCATCATCTCAGTTAAAGAGTATCTAAGCCAATGGCTCTTTCAAAAGTAAGTTTTGCTTTTAAATAATTTGCAAAAACTTTAAAAGGTGATTTTTTTCCCTCCCACATATTTCATTTATTTGTGTGCACCGTATATATATATATATATTTATTTTTTTAAATTTGAAATTTGCATTTTCTTGTTTTTGTTTTAGAAAACGAAAGCTGATTAATTAAAAAGCGTAGCACTCCGTTAGCACAGCATTACTTTAATTTTTGTCAGTAAATTTAGTTTTTAAAATGATCGTATATGATACTTGAAAAAAAAATTTTAATACGAAAATATTATATTTTTTAATAATTTTCATTTAATTCGATGAATTTTTTAGAAGTTGTTTATGTTTCTAAAAAGGATCATGGAGTGAATTTTATAAAGTTGTTGTTATTTATAAAATGCATTATTAATTTATTAATTTTAGTCCTTTGAAACTTTTAAAAAGAACGATTACTTTATATGCATATATTTTTATCTTATATGCATACATTTTTATTTTATATACACTGAAAATAAAGTAAGATTTCAAATTATTTCATTCATTTATATTTTCCAATTTAAAAATATTTTTAATTTAATATGAAGCATTAAAAGGAAACTACATACTTTGTTTTAAAACACAAACTTTTTGTGAAAATGTTTTTATTAAATAATAAAATAAATGCATCTTTATAAAAGAGCGTACCCAGATTTCTTATTATTTTGGCTACAGAACTCTGATTTTACTAAATTCTTTCCTTTTCATGCAAAAATTACTTTCTTATTCGTATAGATATTTTTTTAAATGTTAAAAATAACATCAATTATTTAATATGTTCAGAAAATGCTAATTCGGAAAATTGAAATGCTTATTAATCTCATCTGCTTTTTCCCAAATAATAATAGCTATCGCTATATTTCTAGCAATTCGAGAAAAAAATTCTCTCACAAAACTATTTTTTTAAACTTTTCATTCTGAATAAATTTCAAAGAAAAGACTGCAAAATTTCGCTGGAATATATTCCGTTAATAATGTTTATATACTAACACATATATTTATTAAACTTGTCATGGCAATAAACGCTATAATAGAAAATATACTGTATAAAAATAAAATATTTGTGTACCGTAAAATGATACTTTAAACTTTAATAGCACTTAATTGAAACACATCAAATTAATAATAATATTTAAATATAGTCAAATGATTAATGTGTGTAGAAACAGTTCTTCATTCTCAATAATGCTTCAGAAAAATTTTAAATTTTTATTCAACATGTATTTGTGATAACAAAATTTATTTAATTCTCGGTTTGTATAATTGCTTTGTGGAAAAGAAAATTTACCTATTAATATCAGAATATTTGAAATGAACTGGAAAAGACACAGTTTTAAAGACATATTAAAGGGCGCTGAAGATGTTTAAAATAAAACACAAAAATATAACAAACAGCTTGCAAAATATAAATTAATTCTTTTAATTTTTCACACCTTCAATAAACGGAGCTTTAAAAAATGTGAATTTTAAATTCAAATATGTGAATAACTGTTCTGAAATTTTAACTGTATTCGATTTTTTTAAAGCTGTATTTTTATGCTTTCGTGCAAAGTTTCAGAAAAAAACTACACAACAAATTGATATTTTGCATTCAGAATTAACACATGCAAGTGATTATAATTTAAAGCAAGAATAGTTTACCTAATCGCTTAAAAAATTATATCAGCTACTTTTTTAGTGAAGATGTAAACTTTACTGTAATATGGCTATGAAGATATAAAATTAGTTAAATAACTTTATTTAAGTGGTTCAGAATAATGTTTAATTATTTAATATTCTGAATAACGTGCCAAAAAGCTTCAATTTTAAAAATGATCAGCCCTCCGGAATTAAGTATAAAATTTTAATATCCTTAAAATGTTAGGTAAGCGACTCACCAAAAATCTATTAAAATCTAAGAATATGAGAGATTTATAAAAGAAGTTAACTTTCAATTGTATTTACTGAAATTTTAGTAGAAAACACAGAAATTAAATATTTAATATAGCAACAAAAAAAAAGTAACTCTGTTTGAATTGAAATAAAAAAATTACAGTAACAACTAAAAGCCAACTATGTTGTCGCTCAGTAGAAATTAAAGGAAAATCTATATCTAAAAAATTCACGATTTTCATTTTTAAGACTCAATATTAAGGGGTAAATATTACACTAATTAGTAAGAAAGAAAATAAATAATGGCCTTACTTTCTTCCGTCTTTTACCCATCTTGACAGACTTAATTAATCATTCCTATGTCTTTTTAAAACAACATTCATGTGCTCATACTACATTAAATACTAAGAAAGAAAATAAACATTGGCATTTCTTTCTTCCGTCTGCTACCCATTTTGGCAGACTTAGTTAATCAATCCTATGCATTTTTGAAACAACATTCATGTCCTCATATTACATTAAATACTAAGAAAGAAAATAAACAATGGCATATATTTCTTCCGGGCTTTACCCGTCTTAACAGACTCAGTACTTATTTCGAATGTTTGACAGCTTATAACTCCATGTTGATTTTAAGGGGGTCTCGGAAACTTTGGATAAAAGTGAAAACCTTCTACTTTACGTATTTGAGCTATTCCACGGTAACTTACGTTACATTCACATAAACTTTATTGCTCTGAGAACTTAGAAGCAAACAAATAATACTAATACACGTATTAAAATGAAGTGATTTCTTAAAATTACAATCAAAACCAAAAGGAATCTAATTAAAATAATTCATATTTTTCAATTTAAACAGCGTAAAAATCTAAAATTAGTGTGGTTACCTGAATAGGAATGGCATAAATTTGCAATATGCTTGAAGGCGAAATTCTGGTCAAATGCTGCATGATTAAGATTACATGTATCATTTTTCTGACATGTCTAAATATTTTTTATACCTAGATTTAAGATTTCATTTCAAAAAATAAACTAAATATAATTTTTTAAATGGGTAACTTACGTTACAGTAATTTACGTTACGAAATTCACTTTGTTTCAAACTTTTATTTCAATAATGATCAAATGCAAATTAAGATATTTAAACAGTATAGTGCAAGGGAGAAAAAATTTACATGAAGAAAACTCAGAAACTTTTGATTTACCCACTTGATTCACACACATAACTGCAAACTTATTAAGTCCTCTGTTATTAACTAGTATAGGGGCTCAATTCTTTTCACCATGTTTTCCTTCTGGTAGAATATTTCATCTCTTTTTTTTGGCCATTTACAATAAATTCCCACAGCAGCCATTACATTTACTTTAAATTCTTGCTCTTCAACAGACATTACCACACCAGTATATAACATGTCCTCGTATCTAACCATATACCAACCTCCAGCTTTTATCCTGGGTTCATCATTTTCTTTTTCAATATCTTTCACTGAAAAAACCCTTCTGGTATACCTTCTTATAATCGGTGGATCTGCTTAATGTTTTTAATCTGTGGAGCTTTTGAGAATAGACTAGACACTCCGCTCATGCTCTAGAGACTCATCTGTTTTTTCTAAACATAAAATAAATTTCCAAAGAATTTCGAAAGATGGAACATTATGGATTTTGCTGAAGGCTTCCTAAGTCAATCCGAACTTTTCATGATTCTTACAAAAACAAACATTTCTTGGAAATTAGCTACTAAGTAGGACATGCTTTGGACGGAGCTCAAAAAATTAAGTTTTTCCAATTTTGCATTCTAGATTTTCTTCCTTCCATAAACATTTGGTGCATTTCTCGAACGGAATGAAGAAGATGCCATGCTTGTGCTTTCTTTTTGCTACCATTAGCATCTCTAATTATAACTACATCCTAAACTCCTGGTACTTGACGAAAGATTTCGTCCAATTTTGAAAACATATGAATGCCAACATCCAATTAAATAACTTGATGCAAAGATTTTCATTAAAATTAATATCTTATGGCAGTGATAATTTATTTAAGCTTTGGTATTGTAACTGGATACATTTTATCTAGTTTATATGCCAATATTCAAGAGAAATAGACTCATTTCAAATTGGTAATTTGCATTGCATGCATGTCGGTAACTTACGTTACACCCATTGAATAGTGCACAAAACAAAAAATAAATAATATTTGAAAAGAAAACTATTGCTGCTTATTTAGTGTTAGCCTCGAAGAAGGAAAAAATATTATTTTTACTATTGTATCACTTGTTCTTTTTTACACATTAAAACTTTTCCTAGTTTTTGGTGACTTGCGTTACATGCATTAATGTTCAATTTAAATTTATATAACTAAGTGAATTTAACAACAAAACTTATTTTAATACTGCACAATATTTCTATTAAGTGCAATAAACAATATTTATTTTTTTGGAACATTTTGAAATGAAAATAATGTTAAATTACTGATTTTCAAAATCTGACTATGTTCTTCACCCAAATCAGAACAAGCACATGCCAATGTTGAATGGGCTACCAACAGTATAAAACTAAATTCTCAAAAAAATATATTATAATTTAACAAACTTCAAACCTTTCTAATTCAGAAAACATCCAAAATAATGACATTATTCTTATTTAAATTTTCTAATGCTTTTCCCCTTTTTCATGGAATTGCCCATTTGACTTAAAACGCAAAATAACGCATAATTTTGTGTAACACTACAGTATAAATAGTAGTAGCTTAACAAAAAATATTTGCCTCCTCGTATCTGCAAACTCTTTAAATTTTCATTTACATTTAAAAAGTTATTCATTTCTTTTATGTAGATCCAAAGTATGTCGAGAAAAAAAAACACACAATTTTAAATGAAAACGGTGTTTGCTTGTTTTTAGCTTGGTACTTTCTTTTTTAGTCACTTCCGAAAAACGAAATTTACCCCTCATTATATTGGTATGAATGGTTTTTGTCAAAATAATTATGATGATATGTCAGTTTATATAAATTAAAATTATTAAATATTAATATAGTTATCAAATGAACAATAATATTAATTGCATGAATCGGTAATTCTTTTTAGCCTCTATTATTATTTTATAGA